ATTCCCATTGTTTGGGAATGGGGTCGGGGCTATAAGAGAAGGTTGGGGAACAATTCTCTAAATCACCGGTGCTGTGAATCCTGCATGGGCTAATGGAAGATGGAAGTGGACGCCGACCTCTAAAGCCAGTCCGTGTGCTGCTGTGGTGTCACTGATGGCCAGTTTTCTAGCGAATGCCCCTTTTTACTTACATCTAACAAAGAGGTTCATGTTCGCGTTTTTACCTATTCCCTATGGGCTATGTACTTTCATAATTCCAACACACCGAGTTCGATTTAGATTAGGTGCTTGAGAAGCAGGAAGCTTGGTCTGATTTCAACAATGGTATGAGCGTCGACCGTTCATGCAAAGTTGCACGAACTGAAGTAACATTCCCCAGTAAAAACCACAAACAGCTTTCAAATATCGGGGTTGGTATAAAATGTCCTGTACAACCACAGTCTTCAGTATTTAGTCTCTGCGTCTTGGGTTCCAGGGCCCCATTGTGAGAGGAGGGTAAAGAGTAGATTACTGGTGAACGTCGACTAATCAAAGGTGTTTCCTAGATCTGTAATCGGATGTGTATACAAAACTTTTCTGAAACAAGACTAAACTCCAGAAAGTGGACGAACTACCGAAACTTTCCATCAGAGCTTAGAGCTGGTGAGCACAAAGAAGACGAAGAAAAAATGTATGTAATAACCTTCAGCTGGTTAACGATGCACCTTTTCCCTATTTTCCTGGCGCGCGGGGTTTCAAAATGTTGAAGAACATTGATGAACTCTGTTAAGCACGAGTACCCAACCTATGGGTCGCGTCCCGATTTGAAGTATGAAAGATTTTTCTGTGGGAGCAAAAGACAATGGTGAGCTATGGAAATTTTAAGAAGGAAAAGCATCAGTCATGAGTTTCAATATCTTTTCATTTCTTCATAATGCCAAGATGTTAGGTTTAATCCCAATTGCAAGCGATTTGGCAGTAGACAGCCTTGCGTTTAATTCGACAGTGGTATCGTGAGACAATCGTTAAGAAAGCAATGACAAAATATTTAACATAAAATTGTCTGGCAACAGCATTAGCAGGCAAACAATACTGGGGTGGGTTCTGTAATGTCCTGTAAAGGACAGGCAATACATTTTTTTAAAGGAAATGCAAATAACTACTGTTTTGCTCTATCCCATTCAGAGGGACACTGGATCCCCCATCTATTGTAATGCGCCTTCAAACGGAGAATGGATTCTTGTCGCATTGTCGGCATTCCAGAACGAATGTAACACCTCGCCGGACGTCAAAGGCATCCCATATCCTGGATAAACAGGCGCAACTTTTGCTGCATTAAAGTGTCCTTTGTTGCACATTTGATTGTAGTTACTTTCTCGTTGTAAAATAATCATATGTCGCTCTGTCTATCCGAGCGTCTGTTTGACTTCTTCTTCTTCTTCTTCTTCTTCTTCTTCTTCTTCTTCTTCTTCTTCTTCTTCTTCTTCTTCTTCTTCTTCTTCTTCTTCTTCTTCTTCTTCTTCTTCTTCTTCTTCTTCTTCTTCTTCTTCTTCTTCTTCTTCTTCTTCTTCTTCTTCTTCTTCCACCATTTACCCCATCGAGGTGTTGGGCGAGATGTAAGGATCGTTTATGCGCTTTTTCCGATGAATTGTACAAGCTGGTATTCATTTCTATTAGGTTGCTCCTGATGATGTCGTTCAATAACTGCGTGGTCTTTCCATTGCTTTGTGTTAATTACATTTTTTTTATGTGTCTCTCTGTGGCAGTTGGTATCAAGGCATTCTCGTCAGGTGGCCAAACCATCTCATTTGTTGTTCCTAAATGAATTGTATGGCTGGTTTCAGTCCTAGTTTTCTTCTAATTTATTCATTCCTGATTGTATCTCTTCTTGTCATACAGGCAACTCTCCTAAGACATCTCCTCTTTGTTGTTAGGATGTTCCGCTGATTGTAAGGGTCCATATTTGGCACTGGTAGCACAATGTTGGCCAAAAAAACATTTTTATGAGATTTGCTTTAGTTGACAGAGGTATCTTTCTATGTGTCAGAAGCAGTGTTAATTTTCCCCTAACCTGATCTGCTTTCGCACATTGTATGTTTATTACTCTATGCATTCTTCCATCTCAGGTGAAAAATGACCCTAGATATTTAAATTCTCTCGTGTGTTTTATTTATGTGTTATTTACCTTAATTGATTTGGTTTCTTCTTGATTGCCTATTACCATTGTCTCTGTCTTATCAATGCTAATCCGTATGTTATATTTCTCACACTTAGTGTTCACTTGGTCTATATGGTTCTGTAAACTCTCTTCTGTTTCAGCTATTAATACTTGGTCATCTGCAAATAACAATTCAGAGATATTATCATTTCCTTTGCTCTCTGCTTCTTTTCATATATTGTCGATGTATGTATTGTCGATGTATGTTATAAAAAGTAGGGGAGATAGCACACATCCCTGTCCTACTCCTGAATTTGCTTTAAATGTAGCGATGTACCTGCTAGTGTTTGTATGCAACTTTTACTTGATGTATAAAAGCTCTTACACACTTCAGTTAGATATTTACTGATTCCATATCTTCTTAAGCAATTCCACAACATATTCCTATCCACTCAGTCAAATGCTTTTTCCTGGTCTATAAATGGCACTTTGAATGTCTTATTATACTCTATTGCTCTTCCTGTAGAAAAGTCAATCATGTTGTCTGTTTGACATACTGTCTGATTGTTCACCAAATGCCACCGTGTGTCTGTTTTCTGTCTTACCTTTTTCTGTGAGTGTGTGTGTATGTGTTTGTGTGATGAAGAGCTGGAGCCAGTTGATCATTTTACCTGTCTGGGATCCTCAGTGCACAACAAACTATCGCTGGACCAAGAAATCAACATCAGGATAGGTAAGGCAGCAACAGCAATAAACAACATCATGATAGGTCAGGCAGCAACAACAATAAACAACATCATGATAGGTAAGGCAGCAACAACAATAAACAACATCAGGATAGGTAAGACAGCAACAGCAATAAACAACATCAGGATAGGTAAGGTAGCAACAGCAATAAACAGATTAACAGAAGAATCCGGGAGAAGAGAAAGCTCACAATTAAAAAAAAACTCTTGTCAATCAGGCTTGTGTTCTCATCACTCTGCTTTATGAAGGTGAAACTTGGTAAGCATATTCAAACCAGGAGAAACGGCTAAATAGCTTTCACTCACATGCGAAGCTTAATAAGATATATATATATATACGTATCCATAAACAGACACATAACCACACGCATATACACATATGCACAACACACACACACACGTACACACACGCACATACTGACTCTGTAAAATATTTTATTATATTGAAAACAATATAGTCTAAAAACAACAAAACAATAATTACAAATCTTCAGGGAAAAATATCTCCAACACGCATAAAGGCATGCCAGCGATTCTTTTCTATTTTACTAATCATTTGTACTTTTCCTGCTCTTTTTTTTTTTTTTTTTTTAATTAATTTTTTATGCTTTTGTAATATACTGATATGTATATATATATTTTTAACTTTAATATTATAATACACAATAATAATAATAGTAATAATCAAAATCATCAGGTTGCTGCAAAAATATCTCCAACACGCATAAAGGCATGCCAGCGATTCTTTTCTATTTTACTAATCATTTGTACTTTTCCTGTGGGTTTTTTTTTTTTTTTTTTTCAATTCTTTTTTTTAAATCTTTTTTTTTTTTAACGTGGCTCTAATACTGCCCGCCGAAATCATTATGTATCCATAGTCGTCTTACCGGTCTCATATTTCATGCCTAATGTATCTTCCATGTTCTATGTCCACCTTAGTTTGGTTCATCCCTGCCCCTTCTTCCAGAGCTCCTGTCTTCTAGTACAATGTACGCATACTATCTCTCTGCGGGATCCGCGTTAGCGCAGTTCATAGAAGGCTCGCTTTCAAATCCAGCTGCGACTTGCTGCAGCCAAGGTCAGTGTTCGAAACCGGGTGGTTCCCGGGGTTCACCCAGCCTCTAGGTAATAGGTACCAAAGCTAACTAACACTCTGGGCTAAATGGAGGATAGTCGCTGTAGCTACAGAGTTGCGTGCAAACGACGACACAGGAGGACAGTTTCTTATCAGCTGTCCGTACTGGCGACAGAGCACTTGTGGTTTAATACCGTGTGCAATGACGCCGGTTCACATCTCCTGACTTTACCTTTTTTTATCTCTATGCTGACCTAGGAAAGACGCATACATTTGCTGGATTTGCAGGCATGCAGAACCATACAGGTTTCACACTTTCACTGACAAAAAGGAAAACTAGCAATGGAACGCTGCTCATCTTTGGTGCATGTCAAAAGTGGGGCTGCCATATTTAAACTGTCATTATGAGGTCGCGAGGCTCGTCTGCACTGGAATGTCTACACCGAGTACCTGTAAAGGCAACAACGGTCTGATATCTCATACTTGGCAAAGACTTTTTTTAACGCTTGCCGGTTTTGCTAGTCACACACTGGTCGTCGTTATGGGCGAGTGGATTCGCATGTCTCCCCATGGCCAGAACTGTTTTAACAGCATTATAGGGCCTGAGTAAACCAATGTGATGGAGCACTTAGGACACCAACTCAGAGGAATGCAATTTGTATTCATAGCAAGTCACGTGACACAGAGATTAGCATAGGTTCCTTATGCTCATGGGACACCCGGACAAGTGCCATTTGGGCCCACGCTATAAGACGGCCCTGTCTATGGCACACTATAACACAATCACCTAAAAAAGAGGGAAACGTAACAAAAAGACTTAGTCCTATAATAATAACAACAACAGCTAAAGGGAACATGAGCTACAGTAGCATGTATCAGGCACCTGAAGAGTTAATGCTGTAATAACGACTTCATCTCTGCAAGTAAAATCATATATATACAAACAATATGTTAATCAAGTTATAACATAATGCAGTTAGGTCAAGGTCAAAGGTTCACAGTTCAAGTTTTGACATCGTTATGTGTCACGCGGCGCTGCAACTTAGTCCTCATCGTTTTGTCCACCAACAAAAGCCATTACTCCACCAATGGCCATAAGGATCCCACCAGTGATGCAGAAGACGAAGGAGTAGCCGATAGTTTGAACGTCCGGGTTGTGGATCCCAACTCCCCAGATGACCACAGCGATGAAGTTACAGACCACTGAAATCATAAAATGGTAAAGACGTGACTTTGGTATTAGTTGCGTATCCTTTACAGGACGTTGCAGAACCAAACCCATCATATTTCCGAAGACGGTAGTATGTAGATTGTAGCCTTCCTTCATCGATGAGACCGCACACAGTTTAAAAAGTAAAATGCTTTCGATATAATTTATCGCACACCCACCAAAGCACGTCAAAATAAGAAACGGCAATAGTGGTACCAATGTTTCTTCTGGTCCTTTAAATGTTTGTATTTTATTTCTTTAAAATAAAATTTAAAAGGGGAATTTTGCGAACAAGATCACTGAGAACTGAGGAAGACATCAAAACACTAATCGCTAGCAAACGTTTTTAAAGAAAGAAGTCAGAGATGGCTTGGGTGTGTTTAGCGAATGACTTGTGATACTTTGGCAAGGGACGCTCTCCGGTAGACGGCAGATAGAAAGAAAACGAGGCATGGAGGACCTAAGAAAACCTGGAGAAGGACAGTAGATGGGGAACAAAAGGAATGTAAACTTCTAAAGGATACCGTAGGCATAAAAGAAGTAAAATCACATCAGTTCAGATCACTTGTAAATGTCTTATGTGTCAACAACGGTAGGATACAAAGGTGTGTTTGAATACTTGTAAAGCATTGATTTTTATTTTAAAAAGCCTTTTTTATTATAGCATTGCTTCCTGAAATATTAACACCCAGAAAGCCGAAGAACCAATATTTGAATGAGAATAGGAATTTTTCGTGCCAGGCGGGGATTGTCAAATGCCCCATCTGCTTCTCTAGAATTGCAGTCAGTATGATTAACATAAAGCAATGGCAAACTACTGGACGTAAATTTGCCTAGAAAAACCACACAGCAGTTGGTTCTGCAACGTCCTGTAAAGGATACGCAACTAACCGTGATTAACAACTCACAGGGTTCTTTTTAGGTTGTCCGGCCCAAATATACACTGGCTGACCTTTCATTTATGCTTGCTCAGTCTGGTCTATGTTACAGGGATGTCACGTTGTATTGTCTCTGATGCTATCCCCGGCAATGACGAGTGTACCATATTACACTATGTGACCGCTTTTAACGATCTATAGCTAGAACTGGCCCTAACGCAAATCTCCTATCTGACTGACTTTTTACCCCACCAGGACATCACACAAGCGATAAACACCCGATGACACAAAGTGCCACCATGCGGATGAGGATCACCGTGGAGAGGTCCCAGAAACCGCGTTCAGACAATTGGCCATATTGATGGCCAGCTTATATTGCGGCCCCTGGTAAAAGCCAGAGTGGGGCTTCACTTCCTATCACACAGCATCAGCCTCAGCCCCACGAGAGAGTGTAGAGTACGACCCGTGGTTTCAGAACTATTAACCTTTTTGTGGTGGGGTAAAGTCACGTCGTATTTCAAGTACGAGAAAGCTGTAATATACGCAATGTCGCCGGCCGCTGCAAACAACAACGAGTTGTTTATTTTATCTAACATGAGAAATTACTGGAATAACATCCCCTCCAACAGCAAGAAAATATGCAGTTATTTCCCTTCACATAGTCTCTACATCGACACGGAATGACAATAGCTATTGCTACCCATTAGGTAATGGATCTCGAACTATTCTCCCTCACGGCACTAAACTGCAAATGCAAAAGTTGGAATTGATGATGATGATGAATTGATTATTTAATGATAATTATGAAAATGGTGACATATTACGAATGCGGCCATAATTAAAGTTACTTCCCTTTAAAGATAGTAGCCATACTCACAAGCAAAGATGCCCGTTGCCATGGAGATCAGCGTTAATTTGGAACTGGGAGATTCCTCCAAAGTGGGGAGCACAATGTAAATAATGGCTGCAGCAAGGGCCGTAATTCCTGACAACATCCCAATAAGTGCAAAGGCCTCTGTTGCCATCAGCATGCTACTTTCTGTGAGAGTGTACACAGAGATATATGTATAGTAACATTATATAGCAGTAACATACAGTAATATGGTAACACAACGGACAAGAGCACACAAATAACTACCGCCACCGCCGAGTGTATCTCCCACGACGCTTCGCACGGCGTCGAGCGGGGCTAAACTAGATGGCTGGGACTCACGAGCAGTAGCTACCGCATCTCCTGCAGCTTCCTTCATTTTATTTGCTCGTGAGTCCCAGCCATCTAGTTTAGAGTCGCTCCAAGCCGCGCCTAGCGGTGTGGGTGATACTCTCGGCGGGGTGCGGTAGTCGCCGGAAGTACGCAATTTATTTGTGACTAAGGCCCTGTCAGGGTCTGTTTTTGGCCGCCATGATGTGTGCCCGTTATTCGGAGGATAGCCAGATTTTGTTATCTCCCGTAGACCATACCTTCTCTCAGCCCCTTTCCTCCCTCCACATTTTTCCTTACCCCACCTCTCGCGCCTCCACACAGTCTAAACAATTGAAAGGAAGGAATTCAACAAACCTAAGCTCCTAGGTGTGCGGCACCTCTGACGCCGCACAGCAGGGGGTTTCAGAATAAGATTCTCTACAGTTACGCTGTAACTGAAGTTTGTAGTCTTAGGTTTGTAATATTGATATAGTAAAGAACTATTTTCACGCCTTTGGGCGTATTGGCATATAGGGCTAGACCTAAACTATATAGACCAATCGATATTTGGTAGATGATGTCCTCGTCACGTCGGCCGCCTTTACTTCTCAGGACTGCACCTGTTACCCACTCAAGACTGGGTCGACCTGGGAGTCAATGTCATTTATGAAAAAAAATCCGGCTCCGTCAGTAGTATAACTGTAATCAAAATTACTTACTTTCTTTGAAGATATCTACACATCCGTAAACTGGGATACAGTCTTCCCAGAGACCGTAGGTGAAGTCAGAATTGGGAACGAACGACCACTCCGGGGTGCCCAAGCCGATGATGTGAAGGGTCAGTCCAACAAACTGGATCAGAAGTGCGCACAGATAGATGGCAGTCATTGTCGTACTGCTGGCTGCGGTTCACCTGGGCACATAGAAAAGATAACTTTAAAAGCTTGGGTTCGATTCCGTATAGGTCGGGTTTTATCAATTATTGATCTACCTTTAGCCAATGTTTTAGTTGTCATGATGCACCTTTTCTCCCTTCCTCTGACAGCTACTGGTACCTTCAGGTTTGGAACTTTGCACTGACTGCTGAAGATGGAGACGAAGCACTTGGGTGAATGTCCTGAGTCTTATGACACTGGTTTATAACTGAACTGATTTTGTCCCTTCCCATGACATGTCCAAAGACTAATTCTACAGGTCTAGATAAGATAAAACATTGGTCTCCGCTTTCAGTATTTTATTTCTACAAGTCACTTTTGGTACTTTGTGTGACAAAAATAAGATATAGACATTACCAAATAAAGTAAATCAAATTAGCATTGCTGATCAAACTGCTTCAAATTACCGTTACCAATCACATTGCTTCACAGTTTTAATTATCAGTAAGATTGCTTCAAGTCACCTTCACCAATGCAGCTGCTTCAAATTACAATTACTGATCGTGTCGCTTTCAACTCTGCAGTTTAGTTCATAGTTTCACTTGTGTCTGTATGTTAATAAGGGACTATCTTTAGCGGAAACTTGGGAATCGCTGTTGTTTTAACTTGTGTCATGGATGAATGAATATGTCCGAATTAAGCAACGGCGGGCGTGTCTTTGTATGAGGAATGAGACAAAAACAATATGCGAACCTACAGGTACGTAAAGTAACTAAAAATTTTACCGTGACTGTGATGGGGGAGTGAGGGCACGGGAGTGGGCGGAGGGGTGGGGGTGGGGGAGGGGTGGTGTTCTCAATACATCGTTACCTTCAGCATCATCAGATTAAGCTGTGCCGATTAACTATTACGCGTCGTGATTCGTCATCTCACACGACAGTTAACGTCTCGGGTCAGGTCCTGGTTTGAAATGTCTGCGTGTAATTTCTACAATTTAAGTTTTTCATCTATTTCTCAAAGTACCGTTTTATCCAGTCTGTAGGTGCGTCCGTCCACCACTTTGTCCGCCCCTGGTATTCTTTGCAATTTTTTTTTTATTTGGTAGTCCGAGATATTTTCAGCTGAAGGTATCCTCTTCTTTGTTCGCCATAAAAAAATTCTGGTTGGCACGTTGTGTTGTAGTTTACAATTAGTCTGTGATAACTTTGCCTTCCGTCCAACACCTCGGATTCCAGCAAACCCCTAACTAATGACCTTTGATGACATGCTAGCTAGGGTGCAGTGGAACTATTTCCCCCAACCCCCCAGGAAAATTGCCTACGAGAGCACACGTGTAGAAAGTTTATATCAACACTAAATTTTCACTTAAAATCTTGCAACATTTGATATCATTTACAGAATAAAGAAATTAAGAAACCTTCTTCTTCTTTTCAGCATCCTGAAGCCTTTAGGTTCATTGCTGCAGGTATCACCCGCCTCCATTCATCTCTTTGGTTGGTCTTCTCTTTCCAGCTGCAAGTCTGTCTGGACAGCATCTCTCCATCTTCTTCCAGGTCAGCCCCGTCGTCTACGACCATTCATCTCTCATGTGTATACAGTTTTTACCTCTCTTTTATCTGACAGTCTGTCTCTTAATATGTCCTAGCCATTTCAATCTACTAGGTCTCATGAAGCCAGTGATCAGTGGTGATTTAAACAGATTACGGATTTCGTTTTTGCTCTACAGTCTCCATTCCCCACTGTTTGCATTTTTGATGGGTCCAAAGATTCGACGAAAGACTGTTTTTTTAAAAAAATATTTGTGTCGTTGTTGTTGAAAATGTGTAATAAAGCTCTTTTAGTTGTGCTCAAAGTTTCAGAGCTAAATAAAACGATTGGTCTTGTCAACAATTTATATATTTTGATCTTAGTGTTGCCAGATCGAGACTTTGACTCTAACAGATTTGAAGGGCAAAATATATGTTATTTCCAGATTGTATTCTAGATAGAATTTCTTCTCTCAGCATGTCGGAGCAGCTGAAGTTTGCACCTAGATACTTACATGTTATCGTTAGTTTGATTTTCATATTGTCGAATGGTATGTGTCATCTGCATAACCAAGTAATCTTGTAGTTTTTCCTATAGCACAGTATAGTTTCAGTTTCCTTATCATTTTCTCCAGGACCAAGTTGAAAAGAAGTTGGGACAGAGCATCACCTTGCTTTAAACCAGATGTTATTTGAAAAGGTTCTGACATTCTGCCTTTGCATGTTACTATATTATGTGTCTTCCATACATAGTTTAGTCATGGTAATTAACTTCTTTGGGATTCCAAAGTCTTTCAAATAGAGAAATGTGGGGAAACAATTCTTTACACTCATTATTTTTTTCTTCTAAGACTGGAGGGGTGAGCAAACGAACTGGTCTTTGCTTTAGGTCAGTCTATGAGATTGTAGGGTACACAGAAGCATTATTGCCAAGGCTATGCAAGGCACTTTATGATAGTAATGCTTATATCCCAGTAGGACCACAATATTTCCGGTCTGTTGAGTTGTCGTGTCATATTATCAGAGGTTAGTGAACGCAATTCGTAATTCTCGAGTACTTGGGTTCGAAATCCCAGTCGGTCTGCATAGATTAGAAAATGTCAGTTTCCGTGGCTTTCGGATAATAGTACGAGAGTTGCATTGTGGGGTTTTATCAGGTAAAATTACAAAGATATCAATGGATACACTGCATCGCAACCTTCTTTGCAGAGACGGCACAACATTTTGTGTTATAATTTCATGTATTTGTTAGTGTAGCAGTCGATTTTAACAACAATTTAATTGAGTAACCCCGTTTTGTCGTATACAACAACAGAAGATTCACGACGTTCTCCTTGTCGATTCAAAAAAGCAACGCCGCATAATTTACATATTATGACGCCCCCAGACACAAGCTATGTCATCCGTGTCAAGCTGTATGCATATCAACATGTCAATGTTCTCTTTTTTCCGTATATTCTATTAGCATATGTTGTCGATTTAACACAGGTGTTGTAAAATTTTCACAAGGATTCACAAGACATTGGAAGTAGAAAAAAAAAAATTATCGTCATAAAAGGGCTGTAACAAAAGAAAAGCAAGGCCTCAGATTGTTCCAGATGCCGGGGGGATGGGAAGGGGTTGAGGAAGACGGGTGAGAATGTAACAAGACATATTTCATGTGTTTACAAAGATCTCGGTGCGGGGAAGGTGTGGTGGAGCTGAACTATTGCATATTCAGGTCACACGCAAATCATGGTCCACGCCCTCTGTGTCGCTATTTTTAGTCCAAGTGGGGGGTGGGGTTCCGGAAAGGTGGGAGGTGGGGGAGGGGAGTGGTGTTTTTGTCGTTGTCATATTTAGTGTCATTAATGTTGATGTTGTTCGTTGGCATTTTTGCCACTGTTGTTTTTGTTGCTTAAAGGGAAGATAGATAGATAGATAGATAGATAGATAGATAGATAGATAGATAGATAGATAGATAGATAGATAGATAGATAGATAGATAGATAGATAGATAGATAGATAGATAGATAGATAGATAGATAGATAGATAGATAGATAGATAGATAGATAGATAGATAGATAGATAGATAGATAGATAGATAGATAGATAGATAGATAGATAGATAGATAGATAGATAGATAGATAGATAGATAGATAGATAGATAGATAGATAGATAGATAGACAGATAGATAGACAGATAGATAGACAGATAGATAGACAGATAGATAGACAGATAGATAGACAGATAGATAGACAGATAGATAGACAGATAGATAGACAGATAGGTAGACAGATAGGTAGACAGATAGGTAGACAGATAGGTAGACAGATAGGTAGATAGATAGATAGATAGATAGGTAGATAGATAGATAGATAGATAGATAGATAGATAGATAGATAGATAGATAGATAGATAGATAGATAGATAGATAGATAGATAGATAGATAGATAGATTAGATAGATAGATTAGATAGATAGATTAGATAGATAGATAGATAGATAGATAGATAGATAGATAGATAGATAGATAGATAGATAGATAGATAGATAGATAGATAGATAGATAGATAGATAGATAGATAGATAGATAGATAGATAGATAGATAGATAGATAGATAGATAGATAGATAGATAGATAGATAGATAGATAGATAGATAGAGAGATAGATAGATTAGATAGATAGATAGATTAGATAGATAGATAGATTAGATAGATAGATAGATTAGATAGATAGATAGATTAGATAGATAGATAGATTAGATAGATAGATAGATTAGATAGATAGATAGATTAGATAGATAGATTAGATAGATAGATAGATTAGATAGATAGATAGATCAGATAGATAGATAGATAGATAGATTAGATAGATAGATCAGATAGATAGATCAGATAGATAGATCAGATAGATAGATCAGATAGATAGATCAGATAGATAGATCAGATAGATAGATCAGATAGATAGAGAGAGAGAGAGGGAGAGAGAGAGAGAGAGAGAGAGAGAGAGAGAGAGAGAGAGAGAGAGAGAGAGAGAGAGGGCTAGACCAACGTATAGTTAAATTTAAAAACCTCTATAAACAAATAGACAGACAAACATTTATATAAAGAAAAAACAGCAGACAAGTAGACAGCCTAGACAGAGATATCCTGGTAGCTGGGCAGATAGACAGACAGGACGATATGGGGGCAGAAAGCCAATTGTTAGGACAATGTTAAATGTTGTTAAATGTTCAACATTGTCTCAACCAGTTAAGACAAGAGAGCATATATACAATAATCATGGAAGTTGGCTAAGTAGGGGAAAAGAGGAAAGATGGAGACAATGTTACAGAGAGAAAGAGATATATATATATATATATATATATATATATATATATATAGAGAGAGAGAGAGAGAGAGAGAGAGAGAGAGAAAGGGGGGGGGGCGAGGATGGGCTGGTGGGAAGAAGGATGGGGTGGAGCGACAGAGAGTCTGAAGACTTTCAAACAAAGAGATGAA